TAATAATTTAATAGGAAATAGTGAAATCGGAAGATCTAATTGTAAGTCGGAAAATCACTGGAAAAAAAATTCATTAACCATGTAGTTTGCACTATGTTTGTATTAAACAGATATCCTGTTACCTTTAACCAATCAAAATCGTGAAATTTATTAATCCCGAATCGGTCCGAAAAATCAAACCAAATGATTAATGAAAGAAATAATACGTAAGGTTTGGCAAATATAGAAATATGAAGTAATCAGTTAAAGGTAATGTCGTAATCCACATGGCGTTGATCGGATCGGAGACAAAATTTCCCGTGACAACACACATAATTCAAATAAAGTTTACATAGCAATGCATGCATCTTATTATGGAATTAAAAGCCGTCGAACTTAAAAAATCTTATAAATACAACCTGAATACGATAAAAAAGTTTTGGGCAAGATTAGAACATCTGATAATCTGCGCACACAATTTATATAGTGCACATAATATAAAATTTTTTAATGAAAGTCTTTTCCGTTTCAGGAAATGTACCGGATCACGAGTAATTAATTAATTAATTCTGCCTCCATACAACCAACACTTATTTGCGCCGGCAATACAAACCTCTAAAAAGGAAATGGTCAATCAGAGAACACAAATTTCGGCCAACATAGAATCCAAACATATGCGAAAGAAGAAAAAAAGAAAAGAGTGCGAAAACTAGTGCTTAAATCGATCTTTGTAAACTAATAAAAATTAACGGGGATGAAATTTTACATATAGAAAACTCCAGCTTATTGCTAAAGCACACAACCCTAACGCCTAATCTTAAACCTCTATTTTTACGCACAGTTTATTTACAAAATTTGATTTCCTTTTTGGTTTGTGTTACCAGCGCAAATAAGTAAATTGCCAACGCATTAGCGGAATGGATGATACCTTTGTCCGTATTTTCAAAATGATTCAATCTTTTCCTAACGAGCTACAAATTAAAATATTAACTTATGTAGTTACTGAAACAAAGTAAGTTTATTAGAAAGTAAATAATAAATGCTTTAGATGACATCTTATTTATTTCAATGAATTATAATTAGTTTTGAGTTTTTCTGTGCTCTTCGAACTGTTTGCAAAAAGTGGAACATATTCGTTCCTTTAATCATGCACGAAACTGTTATATCCAGGTTAAAATCTGGTTTAATATTTGAGGTGAATATATATATATATATATACTTTTTTTTCTTTTTAATAATAATAATTTAATTGACATAAACCATCTTTAATATTAGTTTGATTGGAATGAAATTGAATGGTCTGAAAATTCACCACCAATTTATGATGATCGTACCAAGACTTTTACTTTTGCATTTAAACCTGTAGATTACGACTCCAGTTCAGTTATACACAATTATAATAGAAGTTATGATTATATAGATCATTATCATGCTAAATCTAAACTGTGCGTACATAAGAGGACTGAAAAACAGACTGTCGTTGATTATTATAAACCAAGAGCTGAAGCTAAACTTGGAATCGAATTCAGCAGTACTGTTTCGCCAACATTCACAAGTGATGATAATATGTGTGAATATAAATTTGACTCTCAAAATAGTGTACGTTTCAAACGAGAAATTGAGGTTGACGAAGAAGGTGAGAGTATCAGTCATGTTAAGCTCTGTGGTCTTACCATTACAGCTTGGAAACTTTGTTATGTTTTAGATTGCCTTCAAGTTAATGGGTAAGTTTTTTATCCAATATAAGTTATAAGTGGGATTGGAATTAAGTGAACTATGGAATTTTTAATTTCGTAATTTAGAAATTAGTAAACCCTTAATCTGACTCTAACACAACCCAACACACAGGTAGAACAATAAACCTTTTTTAAAAGTATTATTTCAAAATCTTTGGTGTAATATACAACCTTTCCAAATATTTTCGTCTCTTTCACAAGTAATTTAAAAAAGTGGAAAATATTTAGAAAGGTTGCATATCACATCAAAGGTTTTTGGAAGAATATTCGTCGAAAAGATTTATTGTTCTACCTGTGACACGTACACCTATCATTAAATTCATAAATATAAATGAAATACTTCAATTTTTAATCCCAATTATAGCATATATGCATGTTTATAGCTGTGATACTATGTCTAATAATATTTCTATTATAGCAATCTTTCGGTATTAAAAAAGGGATTTCAATATTTTAGAAAGACTAGACTTCTAGTGTGTAATTAATTAGCCAAAGCATATTTTATTTATTAGCTATAATGTCTTCTTTTAAAAGATTAGAATAAGACGTTAAATTGTATAAGTTGTATTCTTTAACCTTTTGTCAGTAAATAAATTAATAAAGAATAAAGTAAGAAAAATTATCAACAAAAACATTTGCACAGTAAATTATTGAAAGTATCAAGTAAAGGATTCAAATTATTAATGGCATGAGTAGGTTTGTGATACGTATCATAATTGAATAATAGTTAATTGTGACAGATTTCTGTGAACGTGATTTTTTGCCTGTTAATAATATGTCTTATTTATTTCAATGAATTATAATTAGTTTTGAGTTTTTTTGTGCTCTTTGAACTGTTTGTAAATAGTGACCATATTTATTCTTTTAATCATGCATGAAACTGTTATATTCAAGTTAAACTCTAATTTAAAACTTGTAATTATTTTTTTTGAAAATTTCAACAGTTATGCCTATACTTTATTAGGTTTTATAATATTATACTAAGAAATATTAAATTTTACAAAGAACTAATCTTTGTCATCTAAGTTACAAGTATATGCTCACCTGGCTCTTTGTGACCAAAGTTCAAATTACCCATGTGTGACCTGCTATAGTTGGCATTTTTTTTCAAAATATTAACTCCTGCCACTTAAGATAATATATATTACTAGAAGGTTCCTACTGGCCCATTATGGCTACCTATCCTTTCTTTAAAACTCTTTCCACCTAGGTCCAGGCAGAATAGTTTATCTCTTACTTTTATATAAGAGAAGGAAAAAATATCACATTTACAAAAGAAAAAAAACAAATTTAGATAAGAAAAAAAAGAAACAAGAAAAGAAAAAAAAATAAAAGAAGAAAAAAAAAGAAACAACCTAAATATGATTCAATCATAGATAGAAAAAGATAAAAAAAGCAAAAAAAAATAGAGTAATCTGACATTCATCTGAAAGAAAGAAGAAAAAGAAAAAGAAAAAAAATTGAAGAAATAGAAATGTGCAGTGTATAGTATTGGTTACATTAGCCTAAAAAATTATATAAAACTGAGTATTGAAGTCTCTATGCCATCCATAATTATTGTATTATATATAATTAGTATGTGTATTGTTTATTTCAAACATATATAGAGTGTTGTGTGGCTGGTGTTCTGATTTGGGTTGTATAAGCACTGTCGATTAATTGAAGGAGCAATCTAGATTGCTCACTTTTCAGCGAAAAAAGTAAAAGAAGAAGAAAACCAACTTGTAAAAATAAAGTAAGAGTTACACAATAAAGAATATTATATCTAACTAAGTAACTACTTCAAAGCTTCTGTAGTATTTAACAAAGCTCTGAGCTTATCTGCTACTTCTTTACTTGGTAGCAACAGAGTATTTTGTCTGAGAACCTTACTTACAAGAGTGACTCTTTTCAACTTTATTTCAGTAATTTAAAACTTGTAATAAATATATATAAAATATATATATATATATATAAGAGTTAGTTTAGTATAATTAGCAAAATAACTAGAATCTTTAGACTAAATTTTAACTTAAAGTTGATCTTTAGTATAAGTAGCCAATAATAAGATTATAATATATAAAATTAGCTATTTAAACTAATTAAATTAGGGTTAGATAATCTCTTTGGCTAGATACTTTTTTATTAGAGTCTAGACAATGCTTTATATTGCAATTATAATGATAGTACATTAAGCTACACATGTACTTTTGATGCCTAATTTAAGTAGTCTGCTCAAGGTGTTAATGCTATGCTAAGGGTTTCACACTATTTGCTATACCTGCACCCAACTACAGAAGTTATTTATTTAAACCATCTAGTTACAACTGCCACTATCTACCCTCTAACCTAGAGTATTTCTCACTATACAGAAGTGAATATTAGAATTTACCTATATAGATTTTGGCATTCTACTCTTAGAACCTACTAACCCTATTTTGGGCTAGTCTATTCTTGAGGTAAATCTAACAAAGTAGTAATGTTCTACACAAGTATTCATTTGCATATTCCTATAACCTTTTTCTAATTAGTACATATTAATCTGTCATTTTATATTTGTATCTTATATCACTTTTTGGATGCTACCATTTTACAGATATTTCTCAAGCACCAATCTTTCTAACTAGGTGCCTATTATATACTCTTTGCCCTTATTCAATTTATAACAACCCCAGTACCCACACTTGAACCATATTCTTATCCAGATTCTTTATCAGTTTCTCTCTTACTTCCAGCTAGCAACCCAAATGAGTTGGTCTGCCCAGGCTTTAGGTACCTGAAAGATGCTCTCCTCTTAGTTCATACTTTTGAAGTATATAGGATCTTTGTCTTAAAAATAGCTTTATAGTATATAATCCTATAAGGTTATTTTCAAGCAAAAACCTTATATATCTTTTTTATCTAGTGTGACAACCTGGCAATTCAACTAGTATGTTCTCCTCCATTAGGACCTAGTCACTTAGTTCTCCAATCTCAGTCTCTAGTCTGAATTTAGCCCTTCTGTAGTACTGTTAAAGATTACTACTACCTCCAAACTTGGGATTTGCCAAACGAGTCTTTGGTTTTTCTAGTTCTCTGGATTTATTATGCCAAAGCTTCCATTACTAGATAGTGTAATTAGAGTTACAGATTATTCTTAGATCCAATTTATAAATCACTATTAATTATACACAGACCTATTTTTCAAAATTGTTGCCAGTTGGATTCAAACTCTAAACTTGCTCTTGGAGAGAGTGATGACTAGAGATTAGGGTTAGTATTAGAGTTTTTTTATATTATAATCTTATAATATTTCTATATTGGCCATCTACACTAAAAAAAACCTGAAGTTAATTTTGTCATAATAGATTTGCTACTTTAAAAATAGTTTTATTTTATATATTCATTTCTAAGAGTCTTAAAAGTAATATTAACCAAAAAATTAATTAAAAGTATTTTTATAATTAATTTGCTATATTAAGTTAATAATTGATATAGTCAATTTTCTAAATTTTATTTTTTTATTTGCAAATTAGTTATTTTGCAAAATTATAATTTTAAGTTATTAATATTGTAAATAAAAATAAAACAAACTAATTGAAGAAGAAAACCAAATAAAATTACTACTATTACAACAAAAAATTATTTAATAGAGCTCTTGTCATTAAAAACTAACTACAAGCAATAAACAATTTTGGTTTTTCTAATATTATCATTATTATCAGAATCTTTTACTATTACTTTTTTTTTGAATTATTTCTTTTAACTATTTCTTTATTTTCAAACCAATTCATTATACCTAAATCACTATATATTTTTGAACTTTCTATCAAACTTGATAGAAAATTTAATATTATCCTTTTTGATTTGTTAAATAGAATATTAAATAGATATTTTTAAACAAATAAAATTAATTTTTTATACAGTCAACTTCTTTTAAGTACATGTTCTCTAAGTGCAAGTTCTTTTTAAATATAATAAAATTATCTTGGCTAAGTTAAAACTTATAAAATAAATGCAAATTCTTTATTTTGCAAGTGCAAGATTTTTTTTAACTAATATATATAAAATTATATTCTCTAATAGCAAGATATTTTATAATCAATTAAATTGCTTTATTTAATTAAAGTTTTTTTTAAATGCAAACTATTTTTTTTTTAAATTATAAACTTGTAACACATAAATTATCCATTTATTATATTAATATATTTATATATAGAATGTGTATATTTTCCTTTGGTAATACTCATATAGTTCTAATATTGGTTAATAGAATATACTAAAATAAGTATAAAAATTTATATAGAACAAATTTGAATACAATAACTAGTAATAATCACATTTATTGCAATTTATAATATTATATATTAACAAGATAAAAGAATAAAATTTGGAAAATTATAATTTATATGATTTCAAAACATTGTTAAGATATATAGTTCTTGTATATGAATAGGCAGAGTCTTCTTTTCTTCTTTTGTTAGGTTAATATTTTTTGTTTTGATATTCATCCTTAGCTTAGAAATATAATAAGTAATAAATAAAATAAACAAATAAAATTGTTAAATATAACATTAATAAAATTATCTTTTCTAATTTTCTTTTTTGCTAAGGTTTGAATTTTGATAATTTTATTTATTTTGATAATTTTTATATTAAGTTTTTCAATTTGTACTTTTAAGGCATTGATAGATAAGTTATTATTAATAATTTTACTAGAAGTAGAATTAGTTTCACTTGTAGATTTTTTTTTTTTTTTTTAAGACAATTGTAAAATAATTTTTTATTTTATTTAGAAAAAAATTATTAAACTAACTCTGCATACATTAAATCATTTTGCTTTATATATGATATAGACTAATTAATTAAAGTAAAAGATTTTTATTATTCACTGCTAAATATATTAGTTATTATATTAAATCTTCTTGTTTAATATATAAGAAATAAAGATTAATTAATTAAAATAAAAGATTTTAATTATTCTTAAATGATTAATTTCTGCATCTTGTTCTGTTATAAACGATTTTAGTTCAT